GATTTGCTGTTTTACTTTCTTAAATTGGGTTGATGGAAAGTTACCAGGCATAATTCACTGATATTTGTAAAGTGCATCTGATGAATGATGCTATAGAACTACCAAGCTGTCTATGCATATTAATGATCAAAATCAGTTGTTAGATGCTTAATATATATTTTCAACCTGACTCTCATGTTGGCATGAGATGGGGCGCTGGCTGGGCAAGGCAGCATACCAACACTGAGATAGAAATGCTCTGTTAAACCCACTTCCAATATGTTAGCATCAAATATGACAGATGCTGCCTGTCCAGATGGCAAGTGGGAATCAGACAAAATTCAGACAGCCTACACAACAGCTGTTGCTAGTTTTAGCTATCCAAACCAGGAGGCCAGCCGCCTGCAACTGGACAGGGACAAAAGGAAATTGAACAAAGGTTCCAATCAAAAGGGGTATTTGTTCCAATCCTCTCAAATACCCCTAATGGCCAAAATCACTAAGGGGTCACTGAAGGGGTGAAGCAAATGTCAGCCCCTGGATTTATGGCTATTTGTCACGAGAGTACAAACAGCTAAGAAACTGGCAGCTTTTCTCATCACATGATTACTGGGATTATTGTAGGGGTGGGGCATTGGCCCATCTGAATCCAGCTGGTATTTTTTCCTCTTAAAAAATCTACACATCTTTTTAGTCCACGATATCACTGACTGTCAGGGGAGCCGTCTGTCTGGCAGCCCCACATACAGAGTTGAAGTCCATGGTTCTGCTCCTGCTAATGGGTAAACACTGGGAGTGCAACTCTATAGGAAGTGCTTAAATTGCCAGGAATAACTGCACCCACATCGTCATTAAAGAAGTTGCATAGATACATCTTTTTTAAGGCCAGAAGGGATCATTAGGTCATTAATGTGACTCATATAGCACAGGCCATAGAGTTTCACCCCTGTATTAAGCCCAATTACTCATGCAGATCTTCCTATAAGACATCCAGTCTCAGTTTGAAAACACTGAGGGATGGGGAATCTTCCATTTCCTTTGGGAGTTTTTCCTAGTGGTTAAATACCCTCAATTGTAAAACTGCATGCCTGGTTTATAATTTGAATTTCTCTGGCTTCAGCTTCCAAACACTAGTTTCCGCACTACGTTAAAGAGAACATTTAGCAAATTAACAAATTACACTAAGAAAATATCTGGTTTTGCATCACTGATGTTTGTGTCAAATAAAAAACTGTCCTGGAAGTCCTTAAATACTGTTATATCATGTCTGTCATCCTCCGGGAATCTGGCTTCATGTATTTCAAAATATTTTCCCATACCTTTATAGTTTAAATCAGTCAGTGTAATATGATTCTAGGATCCCACCCAAAACCTAGTCCGGTGATTCTCAACCAGGGTGCCTTGAGATCCTTTCAAGGGCGCTGTAGGTACCACACAATGTTAGCACTGTTAGGTGTACAAACATGATTCACAAGATAAACCCAGGAATTTCAAAAGGAATTAATAGTGTTAAAACCATTTTGACCTGTTGTGGTCTTTCTGAGTTCTTTGCACCATAAGCATTAATCTAGAATTTTTCTGTAGTCCAAAAATGAGTGAATACTAAGAGTTGCAATTTTCCAAGGGGCACTTTGAGTCTACTGAGGGGTGCATTGAGTCTAAAAAGGTTAAGAACCACTGACCTAGTCCCTGTTAAGTCAATAAAGTTAATGGATCTGTTCACGTCAGTAAGTTCTGCAGGAGTAGACTCCTTCTTGGTGTTGTACTTTTCCATACAAATTTCAAATTGATAGAGGCCTTGTAAATATTTTACTTTTATTGGCATAAAATTATTTTAGTTGGTCAACAAAAGACAATTATTTTAAGGACAACAAAGGAAAAGAGCTGACAAATTCTGGAAGCCTAGGAAAGGAGAGATTGTTTTTCTCAGGATTTTTTAAAGGAGATGGGAACTTGGCTAGGCAGGAAGATCCAGCACAGGCTATTTCAAATTAGTTAAACTTGAAAGACCCTTTTACCATCCATATTTTACATGGTCTCCCAAATGTAGACAATTAAATTAGACCTTCATTTCCATTTGTAGCCAGAGGATGTGATCACCAAACCATTACAGGAATGGTCTCACTGGCTTTTAGTTTGCTCTGATATTTCTGCTGTGAGAGTCAATACATTTATTGACTCTGATATGCACTGGGCCATATACAGCCTGGAAATTTTATGTGGACGATAGGGATAGAGTAGTTTCTTGCCCAACAAAATATACCAGGAGCAGTTGTTCACTGGTACGATACAATATCTATAAAAGTGTGGGATTTCAGTCTGTTCACTGAGACTGGGAAGTACGTAGGTATTATTTCTAATACAGTGTGACTTAGAGTTCTGGAAAACTTAGTCACTGTAAAATAGTATACCATATGGTATAAGGAGCTGTGAAGTAAATAACTCAGATGAGCTATGAGTTATTTAATGCATTACTCCTTATACCATATGGTACGGTATACTATTTTGCAGTGATTTGAGTCATAGGGACATTGGGCTGGAAGGGATTTCTTAGTTCATTTGTTCAAGAGTGTACAAGAACATCTGCCTCAGCCCCTCTCATGAGCAACTAAAATAGGTGGAAAAATTCTTCTTTGCTTATAATGCAAATTCTTCTGGTCATGGATTACATCTTCCTCTTTATATTGACAGTGGCCAGCACATCCTCATGCTATCCCAGCACCAATAAACACTTTGGAGAGTGGACCAGGCAGGGCGGATATTTTAATGGCTGGACATTGTGCCTTTGTGCTCCCACCGTACTGATTCAGAATTTGGTAACGAGATGTCTAAATTGGGTATGTTTCATTCCAGTGCATCTGCTAGCACAGTCCTTTAATCCAGGGATCCATCTTAATCCAGTGTAAGGTGCTTGATCCGTTGTACCTGGGGAATGGCTCATTGCTTGGGTTTTGGTCAAGCATCTTCAGAAAGGGGCTGGCTTCCTGAGCGGGGTCATGGTGGCTGTTGTTGAAACTTGGGGAGATGCAGTGCTGCCTTGACTCGTGTTTTTTTTATGCATTAACCCATGCATTTATTTGCATTAACCCTGCGACTGAACCCAAGGGCCGCTCGCTGTGGCAGAAGTGGAGGATGGATGCTCTGCAGGAGGGGGTTTCTTTGTGAAATGACAGTTGTGCAGGCAGCAGTGCACATAGTTCCCCCAGGGCAACTAAAGCACCGCAGGCAGGGTATTCCCCATCCCCTTTGCAGAGGTGTAGCTCAGCAACCCTGTGCAAGGGACACTGGCAGCCTGCAGCTGAGCGCGCATGCGCAAGGCGAGGCTGCGCAGGGAACGCCGGGAAATCGAGTCCTTGGGGCGCGGGCATGCCGGGAGCAGCGGGGGGGGTGCGCGGGGCATGCCGGGAGCAGTAGTTCGGCGCAAGGCATGCCGGGAGCGGTAGTTCGCGGCTGGGCGGCGCCAGGTGATGGGCAGCGCCGAAGCGGCGGCGCTGGGATCGCCCGGCATGGAGGTCGGGCCGGCCGGGGAGCGGCAGGACGGCAGGTGCGGGCCAGGGAGCAATGCGGGAGTACTCGTGTGGGCAGCATGGGGGTTATCATGTGGGGAGTATTAATGGGGATCAGTTCGGGATCAGGAACTGGTGGGGGTACTATTGTGGGGGTGGGGCAGCCTGATGCTTCCTC